AAGTTTAAAATTACCTTAAAGTGAACAAAAAATACAAATATCTATTCTTTGAAATGTCTCAATCTTTTTGATGATGCATGGTGTAAGGTGGCATTGAAAATTTTATGTTCTATCATCCTTTCCACGTTTTTGAAAATTGTTTCATTTTCTGGGATACAGCCAATTTGCTTTTCTCCATTGGAAAATAATCCAAACACTCCAAGACCATACTTTGATCCACAAACGAAAGTCTTTCGGAAGAATAACTGGTTAGGTTGGTCTTTGGTAACAAGCTTTGCCTCTGCAAACTTTGATGTCCCACTAATCTTTACAGTTAGGCTATTACAGTGGACCCTTGGGACCCCATGTTTGGATCTTCCTTGGATGCTTTCTTAACCTAATGTAATAAAGAGTAATCGAGAATATAAATCCAAGAGACCATGAACACAATTTCTTGCAATGTTTCCACCATCTTTTATTTATAATTAGCCTAATTTATTTCACCGATCTCAAACATACGAATGGACGGCGCTTCTATATGAGTGAAAAGTTATAATATATTTGATTATTTTGTCACTATAATCTATATGTATTCTAAAAAATAAACAATTTGTGTGCTTGGTGAACATATTTTTAAAGTAATTTAAAAATGGATGGTAAAACATGCAAAAGCTCTCTGATGAAAGCTTAAATAGCACTTCAATTCTATTTCAGAACCATCCTTAGAGATACGAAAAACTAGTTTCATATTAATCTGACACTGCAATCAACCAACGAAAAATTTGTTGGCTCGAGCGGGACTTGCTACCAATCCCTGTTGACTCGATAGCTCAATAGGTAGAGCGGTGGTCTATATACCCGAAAATGCAAGTTCAAATCCCGCTCGAGCCAACAAATTTTTTCGTTGGTCGATTGCAGTGTCAGATTAATATGAAACTAGTTTTTTTAAATAGCACTTTATCAGCTTTTTAAGAGATCAGATTGAGAGATCAGTCTTAAATAGCACTTTAGCAGCTTTTTAAGAGATCAGATTTAATATACTATAAAAGGAGAACATAACTGAAAGAGAGAGGTCGATACCAGCTTTTGCTGAGCGATGCAAGCTGGTAGCCAATCAAATCACAACATACAAAAAATAGCAACATGTCTAACGGAAATATTACATAGTTCTAATTAATTTAGTTTGGCTAGCCACAAGAATAAGTTTAAAATGACCTTAAAGTGAACAAAAAATACAAATATCTATTCTTTGAAATGTCTCAGTCAATCATTTTGATGATGCACTGTATAAGGTGGCATGGAAAATTTTATGTTCTATCATCCTTTCCACGTTCTTGAAAATTGTTTCATCATTTTCTGGGATCCAGATGCAAGCTGATAGCCAATCAACAACCACAGCCAAAGCAGATTCTGGTAACGCTGTGAGCTTTAATATGTGATAATAGGTGTTTATAACCAGGTGTCATGTTCACATATTATGATAGACTTGGCCTTAGCCCAAACAGAGCGCAAATGCGTAATAAAATCTTGACATCTCATCATACCTCATCGTCATACATCCATACGTACATTTTCGCAATGTACGCACACACTTTATACAAATTGAACACATCACTCTTAAAGAAATTGCTTAAGTATATATTGCAAATTAATTAAGACTTGCATCTTTCTGTTATATTGTATATGCTGTAAGATATATCGAGAATTTGGAATGTCAAAACATCTTCCAAAAATTACAAGATCGTTCAGGTCAGCAGTAAGATGTTTATCGATGACTTATTTCAGAAAATTGCAAAGATCTTTCAGGTGAACAAAAATATGATTATTCTAACCTAAACATTCAAGCCTCCAAATTGCTCTGAGTCTATAGACGTGGAAATAGCTCCATCAGATGAAAGCAGTTTATATCATGCACTTGAAGCTCTCGATAATTATGGCAAATTAATGGTAGATTTAATAGTCCAAAATCACACAGAATTTTCTTTACCTGATGGAAAAAGAATAAGAACTAAAGAAACAATATTGGAACTAATTAAGTGAGAAATGGGTTTGCACACAGATGAGGGGCAACAGAAAAGGGGTTTCCTAGATGCAAAATGGACAACAAGATGCGACAAGCTAATGGTAGAAGATTCACACCTCCTTGAATTTGATAAATTGAAATCTGGTATCGAACTGGCCCTTAGAGATGCAGGTTTTCTAATAAATCCTTTTCAAGTTAAATGCCCGATTTGCGCAAATATAGTTGTCCTCAGTGCAATGAACCAGCCAAGTGCAATGAACCAGTCAAGAGCATTGGTTCAACACTTGAAAAATAAGCACGGTGCCTATCATTTTACGCCTAGGAGCTTGGGTGAAGTAATAACACCTATATGTATTTGTACATATATATGCATACAGTATATGGATCAGAATATATGATATTTTGTATGTTGCATGTCTATTAAAAATTTGAGGGAAATTTGGAGCATTTTTCATAGAAACTACGCTTTGCAGTCATTGGAAGTTATTTTCAGAGTTTTTAAATCTGGCTCCACAAAAAAATAATGAATATTACAAAACAGAAGAGTACAAAGCTTTAATTTTAGTCTTATTTTAAATATAAGAGCCTGCTGCAGCATAAAGTAGACTTAAAAAACAGCAAAACCTCCTTAAAACATTAAAACTTAATAGATACTTTATTTTAAATAAAAAAAAAGTCATGATACTAAGTAATTGTATATCTTATTTGTGTGTTCGAATTCTGATCCATTATACTTGTGAAGCATGTGCAGAGTGTATAGTAACCAAATATTGTACATTTTGTGATGCTCGTTAAATAGAATTTTTGCAGATCCGGTTCAATTTTATGTAAGCCCGAGCAGTGGACACTTTTTATTACTCAACAACTAAAATTATTTTGAACAATGAATTGAAATTCATAGGGTACAAGTTTGGATGGTGTGAAAGTTTGGATGGGTAGAAATTTGGATTGCACCTGCAAACTACTCGAGCTTACAATAAAATCTCCTAGAATGTGTGAAAATTCTGTTTAGCCAGAATTTCAAAATTGTGTTCTTTTCTTATACACCCTGTTAAACATGTACCTACATTTATATTCCCCAAGCCGGCGGCGCAAAGCACCGTGCGAGGGTACTAATTCCGCACGGCTAATTATACCCAGGTATGTGAAAACATGGCGGAGTGCAAAGTTGTCTTCCATTTTGGTTATGTCATGGACGGTTTTCCACATTATGTGCATGTGCAAGTACAAATTCTGTCAAAGTAACTGTTTTTCATTTTGAAAGGACGTATTTTGCTGTTTTACAGAAATTTTTTGTTTTAAATTTTGTTAAAGTCGTTAAAAAGTTTACAAAAGTACAACATGGTTTTTTCCCTCAATTTTAACTGGAAATAAGCCTGTAGTTTCATGAATTGGTGGCTGTTCAACCGTGAAACAAAGTTTGTATAATAATTGTTTAGATGTTTTGATGTTGATGTCTTTGATAATTTAATCGTTGTTGTGCCGGATTGGGTATGTATAAACATTTCAGTAGTAAAATTTCATGCGGGACTTGCTTTGTGTTGTCGGTTTTATTCATATCTGCGAAATTTTTAAGCCACTCTTAACTCGATAATTCACATTAATGCAAGCTGGTATGCATGAAATTGCAGTGAATGTTATCATGCATAAAACTAGTGCATCAGTTGTGTTTTTATGTTTGTTTATAATGGTCTTAATACTTTATGTGGAGTTTTTATACTTCATCTGTTAAGAAAGGCGAGGGGTTGCTGCATGCATGTATTTTCCAGTAGTATTGATGAACAATTATTGAGAACTGTTTCAACTGCATAACTGCTGTAGGCTGAGACATTTCTTCATATCTTACATGCATGTAAATGCCCTTGATGCATTTATGGCTGAGCAACTTTCACAGCCTGGTCCTGTGAACACTGCCCAACTCTTTTCAGTTACTGTGAGAGTCTGTTCAATGTCGCTACAAGAAAAGGATACAGATTTTACTTGGGTGGTAAGTAGTTTGGACTGCAAAACGAAAGAAATGCAATAGCAGAGTCAAAATCATACTGCAACCCTGGTCCTTCAGTTTCCACGTTAGACTCGAAAAAGATAACACCTCAGTACAATTCTGGTCCACACCTACATAATTTGATGTTGCTTTTACTTTTGTTGAATTCGTTAGATGGTGTCCTGTGTTTCAATGCACCTGGAGTTAAAAAATTTCTAACCATTGTTCACTATGATGGAATGCCAATAAACATTGGAACAACATTGGAACATTTCCAAGATATGAAAATGGAGAAGTTTTTTTCGATGGAGTAATTCCACATATTGGCCTGGAAAAGATGAAGGAACTGTACCAAAAGAGTAACACAGCTGTCCACAACTATATAACTGAGAACTGTACTTGGATGAGTGAAGTAAAAGAATTTGATATGTGTGATGCTTCTGGAAGAGTTCATGTTAATATTTACACAAGTTTTAGTTCCTCTGCTGGAGATTCTGAAAGTGTTAGAGATGAACTCAAAGAAACTCTTTCTTGTGTGAATTCTTGTACAAATTGCATCCTAAAGGGGGAAGCTAAAAACTGTTCCTATTTGTCAACCAAGGAACCTTGCGAGTAGTGCAAGAACTCAGATGCAGTCCAATGTGTCAGTGCAATGTGTATTCATGTTTCCTGGGATCAAGCCCCATCACAACCGCGTGCTCACTCGGAACTGAACAAAGAAGGAACACCAGATTTTGGTGATGCAGGTTATAGGTTTTATGGCTTTGGACTTCTTCACTTTTGTAAGAACTGTATCTCTTCTCTCCGTCACTACAGACTTACCGATATGTCTGAAACATTCTATGTGGGACTATTATGTGCAATTTGGGCATCAAATACAAGCGAGGCAAAGAAAATGAATGAAGTAAGCCCTGCAGCTGTCTTTTCTGTCGGAGATGCACACAGCGATGAAATTTGCTACCAAACAGTTTCCATGCCACTACCAAACATTGTACAAGAAACGTACGATTCAAAATGGCTTTTGATGTTGCAGTGTCAAATAGTGGATTAATCAGAGTATCTGATGTCCAAGCAAACAAAATTGTGCTCATGAAAAGAACAGACAATGATATATTTAAAATTGACACATCAGTAGGGAGTGGTGAAGCTGCATCCAAAGCCCAACTGTTAGAACCTACCGGTTTATGTTTTGACTTCGACACTCTGTTGTTCTGCTGCTTTGGTGGTAAGAACAATGGGTATGTTCAGGTTTACACAACACTTAAGTTTGCATGTGTATTCATGGAGAAAATTAGGCAAATATATGATGCCATTGGCTTTTTAGAAAAAACAGAGCACAATCATGTTGCAAGACCTGGGGATATAACAGAATTGAATATGCTGAGGGCTTACAAAGGCTTTCCTTGTCATATTTGGATTCCTTGCCATATTTGGAAAACTTTATGAAACAGCGCAAAGCATTTTTGAACACTGCTCCAGCTGGACTTGAAGGTACCATGTACCACATATCTGTTAAATGATTTGCAGAGACAGTTTTGTCATTACAAAAACATTTAAAAGCATGAGGGTCAGCGAGTTTGGGGATATGATGCCAAGTTTCAACCTTTATGTACTTACGAATGAGTCAAGAAAGGAACATGGGTTTGCCAAACACAAACAATTAGGACAATACAGACACCCAACAAAACAGCAGTATTGCCACTCCAAAGGAAGCCATGAGATTGAATTGATAAAAAAAATATGCCAGTGCCCACATTCCTATCACACAAACTCATTTAGTTCATATCAACCAACCCACAAGTCATCGCTTTCATCACAAAGTATAAAAGTTGGAATTAGGAACTTAATGTTGTTTGTTCCACACCATTATCGGAAGAAGGTAGCAAGTTGCTGAATCCAGGCCAACACAAAATATCTGAGATCTATATAGGTTCAAATGTGGATATGGGCCACAAGTTTTCTGTCAAAAAGATGCTATTTTTAATGATGCTACAGAGCAGCATTATCCATCATTTGCTGAGCTAATGAAGTCACTTGAAGTTCAACGAGCAAATTCTGGTGTTATACAAGACAACACAAGACCTGATGAGTATGTATTTGTGCCTGGGGATATTGTTGTGGTTAATCCTGGGATTGATAATGATGTACCTAGTGGTGATAAATGGTAGTTGTTGCAAGTAAACAGGGCACACCCTTCAAGCAAAAACAAAAGTGCTTGTAACATGTTTGGTTTGGCTTGTAACATGTTTCTGATTCTGATGTTGGAGAAGAATACCTTGTAGCTGAGGTTCCGGTAGAAATACAGGCTGCTGAGCATGAACAAGAACTACAAGTGCTTCATAAAAGAAGGCAACAAATAATCAGAAATGTTGATGGTCAAATCTTGACATCGCATAAAGATCTCTACCGAAGCCATCCAGTACAAAGAAGAACAACAAAACAAAAGCCAAAGGAACTGGATGTGAATGAAGCAGAACGAGACAATCCAGAGTTCCAATAGATGTTTAAGGGTATGGGTACTCTTTTAAAATTACATTTTTGGGAAAGTAACAATTAGGTTTTGTTCATAATACTGTATTTTCCTGGACAATTGATTCAAATTAGTTCATTAAAAATTTGCCTTAACATGTCATGGTGTGAAAACAGAGGAAATTATAGTCACACATAAGCTTCTAGGTTCATAGGAAAACTACCTGAAAACTATAGCAAAAACTATTGGAAACCCTTCACTTGAAACGTTGAGGTAGTTATCCTATCAACCCCATAAGCTTAGCAAAGAACCTACCTACACTGGCAACCCACATTCCTAGTAAACATAGTCTTTGTATGCCATTGTGTATTGCATTTACACAAATACCACTTTAACAAATCATTAAGCCGCCATCTTTGTTTAACGTTCACAGGCGTGTATAGCCCTCATCAGTGAACTGTAAATACCCAAAACGGGGAGTTATTTACACGATTCTGTCGCTCAGCAAGTACCGTAAACATAAGCAGCCCCTGGACATGCATAATTTTTAGTATTTCCAGGGGGGGACTGCTTGTGACGTAATTATCATATTTAGTTATTTAAATTGATGCAAATTAAGACTAACAGGGTACAAAAAGGCAACCATGCATACATTTCACAGTCAGACAAACAAAGTGTTCAATATTTGCAAGTGCAACAGGATGAAGGTGTGGTTGAAAAGAAAACTTAATATACTGTGGAAAATACTATTATTGATTTGGGGTTTTCGTTGACCAAGGAGCTGCTCAGAGATCTTCTTCAATGAGGAGAGTTGGCGAAACAGAGTAATAAAGAAACACAGAGTTTGTAGACCGAGACAGTTAAGGTTACTGCGCTAAGGCATTCATGCCACTAGTATCATGAGGCATAACATTGTTAGCATGAAGAGATTGAGAATAGTTTTTATAAAGCTGCATGAACTCTTCTTCCACTGCACCATTCTTTGCACAGTAAGCTGGAAGTACTGGATCAAACAACACAGCAAACACCGTTTTTTCATTAAATTGAAATTGCATTTGCTCAGGAATTGTATCCAAAAATGGGATATACATTGCTACGCGGAAATAATGTAGTCCGTGAGTAGAGTCGTCAACATCTGAAACATCTGGGTTATCTCGATACACTGATCTTTGATAAACTCTTGAACACTCCATTTTGATTTTGAGGCATGTTACAGTGTCAAGAATCTACTTCGTTATCTTGGCAAAACGACGTTCTGAGTCTTGACAATCTTCATCGAGGATAGTTATGATGTCTTGGATCTCCGTCATTGCTTCCTTTACAGAGGTGTTTTTCTCCTGTACACGCTTGGATAATATACCTATATTATTGTTCACATTAACAATGCAAAATAGAGTGACAATCAATAAAAGTGCTTTTTGTCACTGCTTTGAAGAGCGACGAAGCCTGTGGTTTGGCATCTGGATCTTCCCATCTGCTGATAGCCATTAGTGTCCTCACAATTGGAACGTAATTTGTTACAAAATTTTCTAGTCCAGTTATTCGTTCAACCCATCATGTCTCCCACAATGACTGAATATTTTTGCTGCCATGATGAACAGTGGATACTGGATAAGTTAATAGCATATCTTAAGGTAACTTTCTTCTTGTTGCCAGTAATTGGAAAGGATGTTATCTTCTTGACAGTGCTTATCATGTTGCGAGTAACAGGAAGCTTTGACGCATTAACAAGTGCGAAATTGAGTACATGGGCAGAGCAGTGATAATACTTTGCATACATACTTACAATGCTCCTTTACAAAAGCTCATGTTCCCACATTCGTTGAACTCATGACACTTGCGCCATCGTAGCTTTGTGCAACAGCTGCGTTGGGAGATAAACCGAATTGTTGAATTTCATTCCAAATTGCTTTCCCAATGACCTTTCCAGTAAGTTTTGGTTCTTCAACCTCAAACACATTTTGATTTTCTTCTTCGCATCTCTGCAGAAAATTATACATTGTCATGGGAATGGAGTCTTGCTTTACAACAACTTCGCTGGGATTGCTGGAATTGCCAGATTCGAACCATATTCATATTCTTTGTCTAAAACATCCGGTAAGAAAATGAAGTTTTCGAAAATTGTCTTCTCATTGCAATCGTAATAGCTCAAACAAAGAGAGAGCTGTTCTACGGCTGATATGACAGTTGTTTCATCTGCCATTATCACATAAAAACCTGCCTCTTACACAAGAAACAAATGTTTGCTGTAACTCTGCTCCAACGCATTCAGGTACTTGATTTTGAATGTTTCCTCGGCACAAGCACTTTGTTAAGTTTGTTTTCTTGTTTTCGTCACTTTATAAAGAACAATTGATCAAGTTGACTTGGTACATAATAAACAAGCACACTAGAAAACCTGAGTAGAATTAATTTACTTCACTTAAGTTTGAAGTAAGTATAGATTGCAATAAATATTTCCAAAGGGGGGAGCCACAGCTCCCACGACCCCCCCCCTGGCTATGTCCCTGCTCAGAATGCAACTGAAAGGAGGGAAACAATAAAATTTTTCATATGCTCAGGAAATAGTAAAGGCATCGATATGCTTAGCATATGGGTCTGTATCAAACTGTTTTCCTAATCGAGAGGCAAACAGATCAATATTAGGTGAAAAACATAGTTTGGATAGAGCCTTCAGTCAAATATTTTTTATTAAGCATCCATTCAGTGTCAAGGTTTTTGTTTCTGGATTCTTTGTCGGCAAGGATATTCAGTTTACCGGGAATGTATGTGGCGGTGAGCCAAATTCCATGCTTTTCACATAAGGCCCAAATCTCATGTGTCAATTCATTGCATTGCTCACTGTGATTTGTGCCTTTATTATTAATTACTGACACTGCCGTTGCATAGATATCTTATATACACTAGATAGCGCATCTCTTTTATTAAAATTGAAGCCAAGAATGTTCCAGCGGTTACCCCCATTTCAATGGATGGCGGCCATATTGGTCGTTCCCACTTGCTAACAAACGCTTAAAAACAACAATAACTTTCATCATTTGAATAGTTTAAAAACGTATTTGGAATAAGGTTAACTTAATGTTTAAGTTCCCTGTTTAAGAGAGCTTGTCTGTAAAAATCGCAATAATTCACCATTTTCTGGCAGATATGAAAAACTGAAAGTTCTTCAATTTCCCTCGATTTTATATATATTGTAGACCTATCCAACCCCACATATTTACTGAAGTTTCAGCCATGAAACAGAAAATGAAGAAAAGTTAGAGTACTTCAAATATCGAACCAAAAATGACGCGAAATGTCCAAGAAATGTCGCTAAATAAAGCAGTAAACATCATGTGCTGTGCTGAGCGCGCATTATAAGTTTTGGTCTGCTGTTACAATATATGTTTTTAGAATATATGGAACTTTCTTGTGATATCTTTTCTCCATAAATCGAAATGTTATTGACTTGGTTATTTTAGATCAAAGATGGTTGAAATTTCCGGGTTCTCCAAACTAGCCAAAGTACGTCTTGGAAATCGCCTATTTAAAAATGGTCCTACTTTCTTTATAAAGGTACATATGCATAATTCGTTAGGGCTAGGATGTAGTCATTCGACGACGATTTCAGATGTTTGGGATTCTTTTGTGTCTTGGCGAAATTTGATCTTAAACATGTACAATATTAGCGTAATTGCGTGCTTGGATTTTATTAACCGGCGCGTTACGATTCCAATATCTTACGCTTGTTCTATTCAAAAAGTTAACATGCTTCACTGTAAATGACACTGAGAACACAGTATATGTGTATCCATACTGCACCCACACATGTACGCACGAACGACCAAGCATGCATTTTAACTTTTTTCGAACGTAAAAAACATAGCCGCAGCCCCAAGGTTACATGGCTTTAAAATGCGGTGTCCGTCCAAGTTTGACACCGGCTTTACTGATTCTGTCTGTGAGTTTGTACGTTTATGCGGAATCACAAGCATATTTACTTGATGTAATCTCTAAGGTAATAATTATTTTTATTGCTGCTGACGCTGCATATTTAATTGTTTACATTTCCTATCGACACATTCATGTCGACTTGCATTTTATTACACATACTTTGAAATAACTTTTCTTACGTATCGTTTCGACAACATAACAAATTTCCAATTTTCCGACGGGTTTCAACAATGGAGGGGGGGAGGGGGGGTCTGCCAATAGGGGAGGGGCTTGAAATCCCGCTTCAGGACAAACTGTTGTCAATATGCAACTATTTATTCTGTCATGCACTTTAGTGTCGACGGTTTTGACTTTGTTTTAGGTTTGTCCCTAGAAGACACTAGGGCACCGGTTTGTTTTATAGGTTTGTCCCTAGAAGATACTAGGGCATTATAGAACTGTGTCTGGTTACATGTAATACTTTCCGTGCATTGTTATATTGTTTGTAAACAACAGTAGCACGTGCAGTCTCGCGACTGCCTGTTTTTTATGTCTGTAGTAAATGGTTCAGTTCAGTTTCAAGTGATTTCTGCAATACTTGTAATGAGCTGTACCAAATTAATATGGTGGTAGAGCAGAAACAATTCTTCCCATTAATATTTTTACGGTGGAAGTTACATTACATTTGGTGATTGGGAAAACACTTAGACTCTTAGTTAAATATTTCCGTGTAATTTTAATTAAAACTTAATCGAGATAAAGCTAAGGAAATGCGAAAAATACAATGGACTTACCTTTATGATTCAAGAACTGTAACAAACCAATGTAACATAATCAGACAGTTTCAGTTGCAATATTAAACTACAGTGGACAATTAGTCTCGCTGTGTGCGTTTATTTACAACTGTGTTGAGAAAGTTACTTCCGGGTTTATAACAGCGTAGGTTACAAATCAAATAATATTTGATTAATAATAATATTATTTTATCTTGCAAACAATCTTGGAACTGTTTTTTTCTTTACGTGCTAGACCACGACATAATTCGTCGCAGGCACTCTAGAAACGATCACGCTTACCATCCTGCATTCTAACCTTTTTCAGCTGATTTTCCATTCAACGACAACGTTTTTATTTATATTTGTATAGTATTTGCATATCTGCATGATTGTGTTTTTCATAGTGTAAATTTGAGTTAATTTAAAAACGCATGACCGATATATAAGAGTGAAGCGTGTGTTCTCAGTGACGACTACAGTAAACACAGAATCGTTTTGAAAAAAATTTAAGAAATAATATTCACAGTGTCACGCTCCAGTTAATACGAACCACTCAATGGGCAATTCCAGCTATAGATCATATAGACTAAATTTTGATCTAGGCAAGAAGAACAAAATCCATCTAGAAAGAGCATGTTAAAATTAGTAAAATTGCAAAGTTTGGCCGCAAAATGTTGCAAAATGAGGAAAATAATAGCAATACGAAATTTGCAAATTTTGTATACCACATTTGGGCCGAAAGTGGTGCAATTGACCACTTGCGCAATAGGCTAAATTTTGATCTCAACAAAAATTTCATCACAGCTTGAAAGAGCATCACAAAATTAGTAATATTCCAAGTTTCGTTGCGAAATGTTGTAGAATGCGGAAAATATAGCCTTGCGAAGTTTGCAATTTTCAGTCATTTTAGATTACAAACGAGAAATTGACAGCTCCAAACCCTTCGAGGCTGTCAATTTCCCGTTTGTAATCTAAAATGACTGAAAATTGCAAACTTCGCAAGGCTATATTTTATTTCATTGATATTCACACGTGGTCAACTAAGATGGCGGAGCTTTGTAAGCTCTGTATTTTTTATGTTATATTTCGTTAATATTTCGTTGTATTTATGTTATTTGAAGTTTATTTTGTCTCAATTATGTCAGTTATCACAGCAGAAGTTTTAAATACTATTTTTGACCAAAAATTAGAGCCATTAAATAAGAAAATTGATGAGGCAATCAGTTCAATGTCGTTCATAAATGAAAAATATGAACAAATATTAGTCAAGTTGTCGAAGTTTGAAGAAGAAAAGAAGTCTCTTGTTAATGAAAATAAAGCTCTGAATAATGAACTTCAAAGAGCTACAAACAAATTGCAAGAAATAATGAAATCGCAAGACGATATGGAGCAATATATCAGACGTGAATGTCTCGAAATCCGTGGGATACCATGCTTGAATGATCAGGAAAATACTAATAGTATTATAAAGGACATTGCAAAGGCGATCGATGTTGATATTACGG